CCCCAAAACCCCAAAACCCCAAAACCCCAAGTTGCTTGAATACTTTTGTAGAAGTTAAGTGAAAAAGTTAATGAAAGACTAGTAAAAATATCAAATTAAGCATGTTATGTTATTAACTTTTAAAATATCGATTGATGCAAATCTTATTAAGTTAGTATTTTTTATTTAATGGAATCGAACAAGGGACAGGAAACTTTTGGAGTTGGCGGACTAGTCAACCTCCATGGAAAGATAGAGATGGTTGACGACTCTCTAACGCTTAACGAGGAATTCAAGAAAAACGTTGCCATACCTTATTTCAAGGATATTTATAAGGACCTAGTTCAGTGGTCTGATTAGAAATCTAAAGGTATCAATAAAGTCTCAATTCTGACTGTAAGTTTCTATTTCTGGATTATATGCATTGCTTACATAAGTTTGGACTAATTATCTTCTAGTACTCTCAATTACCCGGTATTATTGGAGAGAGATTCTGCTCAGTTCTAGATCTAAGCGGAGATGGGTACATAGACTTGAAAGAGTTTGTTCACGGGTTTTTCAAAGTTTACTATTCGAATCTAGACACAAAGATCAAACTTGCCTTTGACATGTAAACTTGGAAGTATTAAGGACTTTTTGTAGGTATGACTTTGATAAGGATGGATATATCAAGAAAGAAGATGTGAGACTTGTCTTGTCTCATATTCCCATTGAAAAGACAATCATAGGGAATATTCAAGGAGAAGGAAGATTCACCAGCGAAGGTGGAGGAAAGTATGCCAAATATCTTTTTTAAAAACATAAATTAGAGAAGTATTCCTTGATAGAATCTAGACCCAAGAGGAGATTCACAGACTCATTGAAGAAGTCTTTGGAGATAGAAAGAGATTATCATTAGAGGAATTCCAGTAAATCAATGAAGAAGTCTCGTCAGAAATGTTTTTATCCGTAAATTTAGAAAATGTTCAATATCCCTATTAAATAGATAATGATTTTGCTACAATCCTCTTTACCGTGCAGTGAGAATTTTTACAGATATAAGAAAAACTACGAAAAATTCGTGAATTAGGGTCCCAAATCATCTGAGGGATCTTCACCAAAGCCAACATCTAGTGCATCAATGCAAAATGAGCTAACTGTCAAACGACAAATTGCTAGTCCCAAGATAATGAGCAAGCTATCACCTATTTAAACAATGTTTGGTAGAGGTGGATTATAAACCAGTTCCGTACTTTAGAAATATAGTGGATAGGCATAAAATTAAAACCAAGATGTTTAAATGTCTGATCCTTAGGCTGAGGAGCAAGTTGGTGAAGATAGAATTAATTCAATCACAATTAGCTAGTTTAAGTCAAATAAGCTTTCCTAGATTGATAAGAGACAAAGAATGGAGGAAGTTGAGAAAATGAGAAAAGGAGGTTATGACGAACCAGGTTCCCCAGCCAGATTTGATGCCATTAGATTACCAAACTAAATGCAAAGCCAAATTAAATCTATTGGAGACACAAGAGTTCAACTTAAAAGTTAATGTATAATGTCTCCTACAAATATTTTGGCTGGAAACAAGAAAATGGATGGATTCTTTCACTCAGATGACAAAAATTCAGTTTAAATCGAGGGAGAAATGATAAGAAAGGCAACTGAGACAAAGCTTAAAAAGTATTGGTATTGCTTGCTTGGAAAGGAATTATATGTCTATAAAAATAAGCATGAAGATAAACACAAGGGAATGCATAATTTGATCGGTGTCTTTATCAAGGATGAACCTGAGGAGCATCTCGATGCAAACACCACTCTCTATCCATTCAAATTAATCTTTCCTCCTAATAAGGTCAGAACTTATTATCTCCTTACATTAGAAGATAAAGATAGATGGATCAAGGCAATTAAGAAAGTTATTGGATATTCCAGTCTAAATGATTTCTATGAGATTAAAGAAACTCTCGGTAAAGGTAAATTTGGGCTAGTTAAATCAGCTGTTCACAAAAAAACTGGCAAAGTTGTAGCTGTTAAAATCATGTCAAAGAAGGAAATGACAGTGTCAGATGTAGAGCTTTAAAGAAGAGAAATTGAAATCCTAAAGATGTGCTAACATCCTTACATCATCAGATTGTTAGATATTTTTGAGAATCAAGACTATATTCACATTGTCATGGAAAACTTAAGTGGAGGAGATCTTTTTACATACTTGGAGAAAAGAAAATTCACAATTCCTGAAAGCAGAGCTAAAATCATAGCTCATTAAATCTCGACTGCACTTTACTATTTACATTCATTTGGTGTTGCACACAGAGATTTAAAGCCAGAAAATATATTGATGGTTGATAATGGAGAAAATACAGATTTGAAGATTGTAGACTTTGGTCTCTCAAAGATCATTGGACCAAATGAGACCTCTCTTGATCCATTTGGAACTTTAGTAAGAATTATATCACTTTATACCTTTTAGTCTTATGTTGCTCCCGAGGTACTATTGCAAAAGCCTTATGGAAAAGAGGTTGATTTGTGGAGTATTGGAGTTATCATATATCTCCTACTTAGCAGAGTTCTGCCATTTGATGATGAGGATGATAGAGAAATTGCTAGGTAAACTATTTATGATCCACCCGATTTCTCCTTCCATCCATGGGATAAAGTAACCAAGGAGGGTAAAGATATCTGCAAGAGTAAGATTATTAACTTAAAAAATATTAGGATTATTGGAAAAGAACAGACACAAAAGACCAGGTCTTGAGGAGGTCCTCAATCATCCATGGTTCGGAGAATTCAAAGACATCCATAACTTTAGAAATCAGGCAGATGGTGAGAGCAAATTCCAGGCCTATTGTCTAACAGAGCCAAACTCTCCCAAGATTAAGGAAGAGATTGAAAAATATTCATACCCCTAGTGATGAAGATACTTTACAACTAGCTATCTTCATGATTCATTCTACAATAAAGTGATTCATTCTTCTACATAATAATTATTAAATTTATTATCCTATTTACTTCTATAAACATATTAAGGGGTTTTGGGGTTTTGGGGTTTTGGGGA